CAAGCAGGAGGGATCTCTTCACGGCCACGTCAGGCTGGCTTTGTCACTGTTTTCCAGTGTTTCTTTTTTTAGAGGTGTTTCTGTTTATGTGGATATGGTCTTGGTTCATAGAGAAGTTTAAGAGTCTGTTTAGCTAAATCTCAGCAGCTACCGAGTGAAGACAGGAGAGTGAGCCTCAGAGCAGCATTCTGTCTCTTGTCGGCAGTTGGAAACGTGTCCAGACCCAAGAGGACAAAGCGTCAAATAATCACAGTTAATAAACGTGCTGATTCACTCGCGATCGTGAGTCACTGGAGGCTGGCTGCGTGCTGCGTCCTCTCCCTAGTTTGGAGGGATCAGGGGGTCCGCTCACAAGGGCTCAGAAAGGCTGTCATCAGTAGGGCGTTAAGCAAGATCGAAAGTGTGTTTTTAAATATGAATGTGAGAGTTATTTGTTTGCTTCTTTTTAAAAGTAATTCAAGTCTGACCTAAATACGGGGCCTTTATTATGTGGTGCGTGCAGGGCAGATTATTTCGCGACCGCACTCTGTTCCAATCACATCACTAAGCAGCACTCGGATGATTCGCTGGTGCGTTAAAAGGTTTTGCAAAATGGAACAATCCAAACCCAGGCACTTTATTTTCATTAGTGATCCGGCATTTTTGTTCAGACAACGTAGGGACCCAAACACCGGGCACTCACATGTGACGCGTGGGCAGACTTGCCAGTAGAATTCTGACTTGGACGGAGCAGGCAGGCGCGTCGAAGACGGTGATCAGACGGGCGCGTACTGCTGTGGTGACGACGAAAACGAGGCTTTTCCGGAGCACGTAACCCTCACTGGACTCTGGCAGTGCCTCCTCACTCAGTCCCCAGATGCTCTTTCTCACAGGCTCTCCCAAGTGTCCTGTCGTTACCCTGGGTGTCACCGAGAAGAATGTAAGCAAGAGCACAGCGGGCAGGGGAGGCAGCAGAAGGGCCCAGTGTCTTCTGTGCTCCAGCAAGAGCAGAGTGCTGGGAGGTGCCGTTTCTGAACCGCGTGTTCACTGCAGGGTGGGAACTGTCGGGCGCAGCAGGATCTAAGGTGGAAAGCAAGTTGAGCGGTCGGAGAGGTCAGACACGATGGACCAGATGCCTTGGGATTGCCCGAAGCATTTAGCATCCACCAAATAGTCGCGTCTCTGAGACGGGCTGTGCGGGGGACCCCTCCCAGACGGGCTTGGGGGCGGAGAGCCCCTCCCTGCCATGGCTGTCATGTGTCTTAGTCTTTGTGTTTCCCTTTGGCGTCTCCTCTGGTCTCTGTCCCCCATCCTGTGCACCATGTGTCCCTGAGGGCGAGTCACACCTGTGTCTGAGTCTGCTGTAAGGTGTTCAGTCTACCTCAAGGGGTCATCATGGTCAGCTCTGTCCACATGGAATCCTCCGTCCATTGCCACACACACTGGAATGTATCCCCCGCCCCTCAATAACCCCTTGACCCCGTCATTCCTAGAATCACCACAAACTCCTAGTGCAAATTGGATGCTGCTTTAAATGTGAAAACAATTGTTCAAAAGCTATAAAACCTGAATGAAAGCTAAAGCTGAATTTATAAGCCTTGTTGCATATGAGCCAAAAGTGCAAAAAGCTCTATATAATGAACTAACCTGCCACTCGTATAAATATAAATATATATAAATATATTAAATCAGACTGTTCTACAAAATTGTGTATTTGTATTTTTGTGTACGTACAATTTTCTGCTAAGCAGAAGGAGGATGTAGTATAGGATGCTGTGAGAAGAGATTTGGTTTAATCCTATTTCTTTGTTACTTATTTTTGTTAACATCAGATGCCTGTCTTCGTCTTACATGTGTATGACACTGTTTGGAAAGCTGCAGTATCTCTCTTCCTTAGGTCCAGAGTCCATTAAAGAATGAAATCTGGGGTTTAGAGAGTTGGCCACTCAACACAGAGTGTGTGAGGGGAGCCCGGAGCCGTCGTGGTCCTGAGGCGGGACCGAGGGAGGGAAACCGCGTCCCCGCTTCAGGCCGGTCATTGTATTTTGACTTCCTTCAGGGAAGCAAAATCCTACTTATAGAAATCAGCTTCTAAAACAAAAGCTTATCCGATCTCTGTAATACAGACTCTCCCCTGGGCCCGCCGGGAAGGGACACAGGAGACCTGTGAACTTAGGAACAGGACCTCTTGTTTCTGGGCCAGATGTGCATCCGGACGGCAGCAGGGGCTCTGCCCGGCTGTCACTGGCTGTCCCGGGGCTTGTCTCCCTCCTCAGAGTAGTCGCTGCCTTTCTTCAGATCAGGTTACCAGATGCCTCCCTCTGCCGAGCTGCTGACGCTGCACCACCCAGACCTCCAGCCCCAGGTACCTGGAGCATCTCAGAACCCACTTTGCCGGTGCTAAATCACAAGAGGGGGTTAAAGTGGCTGCCACTAGTGGCCAGAAACCAACAACCAGAGGCCAGGCCGAAAGACACGCTCTGGGTGCCCAGGGGCCACGGGCGTCCCAGTGCCGCCCGTCCACCTCTCAGCCCCACGACGTCCCTCTGAGCTTCTCTAGGGAGAGGGATACTGCACCTTCCTCAGTAGGACTCATATTTATAACAGTGTGTAACGACTGTAGCAAAAAGCCCTTGTTTCTAGATGTAAATGGTCAACGAGACAAGTGCTCTATCGTATTGATCAAATAGTCCGACGAGTCCTGTATCATTGTCTCTCCTATTCTGGATTAGTGCCTTTTGGACAGTAGACTGTTCTGTAATTAAAATGTAGTATACTGCTTTTTTGTACAGTTTTGTTTTAATAAAACTTTTTTTTAATTTGTGTTTATTTTAGTATTGTACCTATTAGAGAATAAAATGTATAACTCAACAAGGACTGGCTGGGATTTCTTTGGATCACAACCATCGTTTGGGAGGTGCCCGACACTACCTACCGAAGGGACAGAAGTGTTGTGAACATCGGTCCCAAGGACACTTGAAAAGGATCACGTCCAATTAACAGCACCTGGTTAAGGGCGGGAGGCTGAGCTCGGGAGCGCGCTGCACCCGGTCACTGCCTGTCCCTCCAGCCTCTGCTGTGTCCAGACGGCACCAGGAGATCCCCCAAACTGTACGTTCCCTGTTCCCTGGCTGTGAGCACTGCCCTGCCCGCCCACTCCCCACCCGCTTCCGCTGCGCTGTCCCACCCACTGGGAACAGCCCTGACTTACCAGGCTGAGCAGCTGCATTCCACGCGGCTCCACTTCTCCATTCCAGGCCACACCCTCAGCCTCATTTTCTTAAAAGAGTGCTCTCTCCTGGGGCCTCACCTTCAGCAGTGAAAGAACAAAAAAAGCTGAAGCTTCGTTATTTGGTTTTCTTTAAAGGCTTCCCTTTCACATCGATAGACTCTGGAGTCCATTAGACTTCTCGGAGAAAACCTAAGAAGGGCCGTTTTTCTCTTCTCATCGCACGTAATTAGAAGAGACTCTGCAAACTCTGCCCCCAGACCCTGTGGAAGTTGCCAAGTGGAGGTGGGCAGGCTGGGGGTGGGGCCCACACAGAGGACACCCCCACCCTGTGCTCCTCTTAAGTAACCCAAAAGTGCTCTTTCTACTCAAGCAGTAGAGCCGTAATCGCCACACCACACCCAGCCGTGCTCCACACGCACCGGGCCTGGACATCTCCCCACTGCCCCTTCACCAGCTCCCGTGTCCTCTCCGAGCACCGTCTAGGGCTACCTTCCTCAACCCCCTCTGGCTGCGTGCCCCTCCCATGAGCCCCTGGGCCCTGCAGGGTCACCCTGGTGTGGAACCCACCAGGATGGCTTGTTTCCATTGGACTGCACACTCCTCGAGGCCAGGCGCTGGATCAGTATGCAAACGTTGAGTGACGGTGAGTGAGTGAGTGAACGAATGAAGGAAATGTGACAACCACTAGAGCCCATTTCAGAGTCTGAGCAACTAGAAACCCCACAGCCTGATGCAAACAAAAGACATCTCATTGAGTTGCAAGAGAGCAGCAGCTTGAAAAATAAGAGCTACCCTAGGAGCTAGATCAATTCCACTTTCAGATTCCTGCCTCATTCAGAGCAGGGCAACTCCTGGCTGCCAAATTTCTGTCATTATTTGGCAGCACTTGTCTCTGAGAACAACTCTTCTGCACTTATGAATATAAACAACTCCTGCTAAGATGTGCTCTGATTGATGGCCACCTCCGTTCAGGCCTCCGAGTGGCCGCAGCATTTGCAAGTGTATCTGGTATCAGACAAGGGCCGAGTGGATGTTGGCAGAGGAAAGAAAGGGCCACAGCGAGCCTGCATCCTCGTGGGGATGTGCACCAGCCACCTGTGTCCCTCGCTAGTGTTGGGCTGTGGTCCCCTGGCCGAGAGGGACTCCCCAGGCCTATCAAAGGAAGCCCGGTCATCGTCCACACCCACGCTGGGCACAGAGCTGGACAGGTAACAGTCAGGCCCAGGCCCTGCCCACTGGCCACAACCGCAGTCCTCTCTTCCTGAAACACCTCGTTACGGACGCTTCCAGTCCTATGTAGTGGAAAGAGACGGATGTCCAGTGTGGAGTTCGTCACGCAGGTCAGGGCAGAGAGAGGAGCCCTGCCTGAGAGCTGGGGACAGTCCCTCCCAGGCCACCTGTCTCCCAGCTAGCCCAGAAGCTCCGATTACCTGGGCTCTCCGGCCCCCAGCAAGTGCCTGTTGGTTCTCAGCTTCTGTAAGGGGCTGACGCCTAAACCAGGCTCAAAGACTGGCCAAGGACCCCGTGGGCCCTACTGGCTGCTTTGGTCCAAACCGTGCACAGCTCGGCCTCCGGGCAGCACACGGGCTGGGGGAGGCACGCGCTGCTGCTGCTCCCCGAACCTCCCTCTTCCAGTTTCAACCTTGCAAAGCCCCTCGTCACTGAGAACAAGGCCATGCCATGACGGGGGGACAGTCTGCAACGAGCCCAAACACACCAGTGTCACAGTGGAGCAACAAGACTGACCCATACATAGGCAAGAAATCACGTGGTTTTATTTAGAAGCTGTTGGTCATTTGATGGAAAGGCATATATGGTACACAATTACAGTGGTTTAGTTCATTATACAACACAAATCATTAAAGTCTTTACAGTTCATTACACAGTCTTTGGATTCCAAATCAATATAATCCCGGAATCAAAGTCACTTCTTTGAATGTGAACCCATCGTATTTACAAAAATCCACACAGACATCCTAAGACCCTCCCAACACCAGTAGTGTCAGCAGCCCACCAGGAAGGCACCAGAGACTTTTCTGAGAGAAAGATGCTTTTGGGTACAACCGGCCGGTGACAGGCGTGAAGCCCAGGCCACACGCCAGTCCCCGGAGCTAAGGCACTGCAGTCGGACACTCCCATCCAGCCGGCCCCTGGGGGCCTCACCACCAAGCACACACGTGCACACAGGCAGGGCAAGTCTCAGCGAGGAAAAGAAACACACGCTCAGGACTTCTGGACCACGTCACATTCAGGGAGCTTTTAAGGCAAGAGGAAATGCCGGGGAGTAGTGGCGGGGGGGTGGGACAGGGGGGACACCTAAGCCTTTTGGACGCTACGGCAGTCACGTTCCCGGCTCAGTTCTCTCACTGAACACACCAGGCCCGACCTGGTGGGCCCCAAATGCCTCCCCCTCCTCACTGCTGCCCTGCTGCCCCCCCAGTCAGGCCTGGGCACCAGGGATGCTGCTTACACGCCCATCCCCTGCCCCCCACCCCCATGGCCCGACACAGTCCTCGGGGTGGGAACAGGCCTTTCTACCCTTGCGGCCTCTGTCCTTCATGAGGGCCTGAGGGCCGCACGGGAGGTGGCAGGGCCGGTGGTGGCCCTGGGCATGCAGAGTGGGAGGCAGAGGCCCCAGGAAGTGTCCCCGAGCTGCTGTAAGCCTGGGGCCAAGAATGGGGTCAAGAAAGTCCCAGAGCAGACACGCTAAGTCAGGTCTGTGGATCAGTGAGGCAGCAGGGAAGACGGAGGAAACGGCGCCCAGCCCACCCTCCAGACCGCACCTGCCGCCCGCTGAACACCGCGCCAAGACTGGCGGGGCTTACCGCTGTAGTGACGTCCCTCCTTTCCTGGCTGCAAGTTCCCATCAGTCTGCACCAGAGAGCGGGAAGACAGGCGGGGCAGCTGCCCTCCAACAGCCCCGCTAGTCATCTAGCAGAGCAGGCCTGGAGCGGATCCGGGCCGCCCAGGCGGGCGGCGGACGGCAACAGTGACCCCACGCGCATCTTGCAGTGGGTCCTTCGGTCAGTGCCTCCCTCCAGCCCTGAGGCTCATGCCGGTCACAGTGCAGAAGAAAGGAGGCAGGACAGCAACACACGCACCCCTGCCAGACCCTCCCGCGGTGCTGTCTTTGGGAGGCTGCCTCATCCGCCCTCGTGGGTCAGGGACATCTGTGGGGGCGGAGCTGATGGGGCACCAGGGTGGCACTGTCCCAGACTGGGCTGGAGCACCATCCTTCCTGCCGGGCCCCTTGTGTCTGGCCCTGCAACTGGGGAAAGGGAAAGACACCCACTCCCAGCCAGGGGCTGTGCAGCGCAGGGCACCCAAGGCAGCCGTGGGGCCTGCCAGGGAGACCACCCCTCCTGGCGGCGGCCAGGACCAGCCTCTGGCTCGATTCTGGACAGAAAGAAGTCTCGAGTGCACATAAGGCTAGACTCATGACACCGAGCAGGGGCTCCTGTCTGCTCCTGAGCCGGCTGGGGGCTGCAGGTGCTGGGGTGACACTGTAGTGTTCTCAGGGGCCACCAGGCTGGCAGCCCCAGCCAGAGACAGGGAGCCCAGCCGTCCTCCTTGAGAGGAGCGTCAAGTCCGCAGAGAACCAGAGATTCCTCAGCAGAGCTTTCTAGCGCCGTCTCAACATGAGGACCAGAAATGGGTGCCAAGAGTACCTGTGCGAATCCTCAAGCAAGGCTCCTGTCCCCAGCACTGTGGCAGGGGGCGGCCCAGGACTGTCAGGGTGTGTCCTCTGCCACGCTCCCCTGCCTTCCACACACAGACCCTGACCCCACCTGAAGGCTGGTGCCACAGGCCCCAGGCCCAGAGGCACCCCAGCAAGGTGGTAGGGGACACCCTGGCTGCTCCCTGTTGTCCAGCCAGCGCCTTTCGCAGAGAGCCCGGGCGCCTGGCGGGCCTGCTCATGGCTGCTGCGAGGATCAAGGGAAAACCAGGGCGGGCTCTCCCTCCACGAGCCTCGTTCCCCAGGTGGGGGGAGGGGGTCAGGGCTTGGGAATTGCCAAGAAGCTAAAATGGACTGAGCACCTTCCCAGAAACCACAGTTGCACCAAATAAAGTAGTGAGTGCCTCTAGCTTCGTCACTGACTACGGAAGCACAGCAACGTGACTCCCCAAGCGTTTGCTTTCATCTAAGTCAGAGCAAGGCCGTGCGCACCTGCAGCAGAGGGACAGGAGGACGGGGCTCCGTCCGCTGGCTGCCCCAGGAACCTCCACTCAGGGCAGGAGATGGCAGCTCCCGAGCGGCGACAGAGGCTGGTGACGTGCACGGCAGGCCCTGGGCCACCCGCGCCCAGGCAGACGATTGTGGCTTTGCAAATGATTTCTGATTTTGAAAAAATAAATATAAATAAATATATTCCAAGCATTCTGTTAAGGGAATAAATGGCAAACAGAAAAGACTTTCTAGGTGTAAAGACAACAGAACACCCGCGAAGAAACTCTAAGAAACCCTGTCAGAGGAGCGCGGCAGGAGCGGGGCGCAGGCCACAGCCCCCACTCGGGGCACACGGGGCCATGGCCCGGAGGCCAGAGGCACTTAGGGGACTGTTACTGGGGGCCTGAGGCGCCAGCCAGGAGGTCAGGGTGGGCTTGCCCTCCGCAGGAGGAGGAAAGGCACTAGTTAAGGTTAAGGTTTAAATGACGACATTCCTCGGGTCACCAGAACAGACAAATAGGAAAGAGAAATGAAAGCTCTAGGCACAGGCACGCAGGGAGGTGGCCAGGCCTTGTGCCACCTGGGGCCTCACTCCCACAATCCCACGACCCCTGTGGGCGCCTGGAACCTGCGATCCCCACCTGGGGAGGCCGAGGTGCCCCCTCATCCTCTGGGTAGAGAGGAGATAAAGCTTCCAGAGGCCCAGGGAGGACGGGGGAAACGGGGAGGTCACCAGCCCTGCGATGTGCAAAAAGCATCTGCTACCCAGCCAGGAGGGGCCTGTGGGTGCCAGGCTCCCCACTGTCACCACAGGGCTCCCGGCACAGTGCTCCTGGGGCAGCCGGCTCAGCTGGCCCAGGATTTCCGGTTCTCGGGGTTCTTGTGGCTCCTGTCAGCCTTGGCCAGGGCAGCCGTCAGTGAGGCCAGGTTGGTGGCGGAGCCTGACAGGGTGGCGCTCCGGCGAGCCTCGGAGGCGCCCTGCAGCCTGATCCCCGCGCTGCGCCTCCTCGCGGCACCCGTGGCCCTGCGCACCCGGCCGGGCCTCACCAGCAGCCCGTAGCCGGGGCTGCAGCGGAAGTACTGCTTCCCGCCGACCGAGCCGTCGTTCTTCCCTGCGGGGAAAGGAAGACGGTGATGTGGACGGTGACCCAGCTGCACGGCGCCCCACACCCCCGTCCTCTGCAGAGGCTGTGTCCCCCAGACTGCCACCTCTGGGCCTCCGATAGGCGCTGGCCACTATCTAGCAGGGACCGGATATGGCCAGCACACGGGGTGACTGTCTCCTATAACAGCAAGCAGTGGCCGCCAGGGACGGACACTCCCCAGTCCTGCAGCCCCAGGTGTGAGGTGACAGGCCCTGGGGAGGGCCGAGGGGAAGCCCAGGTCAGACCCTCTCCCGTCCGGTGATCTAAGCCTCAGCCCAGGACGGATGCGCTGGTCAATGCATTCTCTGACTATCGCACGGAAACTGGCAAAGCCGCCCAATTACGGCAAGTCAGATGCCACCTGACTCGTCGAGATGGTAAGGAAGGAACTCCTTCGCAGACAGGAAATGCCCTCAGGGAAGGATGAGAAACAGCTCAGGGAGTGTGGAGGGCGGGGAATCTGAGCAGAGGGGCCACCGCCACCCATGGCGTCATCACAAGTCGCCTATGCCCCACGTCCCGCCCGGTCCCTCTGCCTCGCTCCACACGGGCCCAGCTGCTCCACCAACTGCACCGAGGGTGGCAGGGCAGAGGGACAGGAGACTGTCCTCTCCCACTCCAGGGACACGCCCCTCTTCCCCCCACCTCCCCTCCCCCACTCTGGCCTGCCCCAGCTGTTTGCTGGAGGGCCCAGGGTGCACAGGCCACAGCTCAGCCCCAGACACACCCGTGGGCCCTGTGGCCTCCCAGACGTGCCTCCACCCGCAGGCTCTTCACGCCCAGGACTCTCCCGTGTGTCCAACTGAGCTCCAGACGCCACCCCTTACACGCCGCCTTCGGGCTTGTCCAACTCAGCCAGTGGTCCCACAGTCTGCCCTGCTGCTCTCGCCACTCAGGTGTGATCCTTGACTCTTTCCTTCCTGAACGGTCCATGTTCGACCCCTCAGCCCTGCTGGCTGCACCTTCCCATCTTCCCCAACTCTAACCACCTGTCTCCACTCCCACTCTACTGGCCGAGCCACTGTCGTCTCCGCCTGGACCTCTGCGACAGCCTTCCTGCCTCCACTCTCCCCTCTGCCCCATTCTCCGCAAGGGTGAGCTTTGCCCGTTGCACCTAACTCCGTAACAGGGCCGCAAAAGCCCCCCACTCCTGGCTCGCACACTCGGGGAGCCCAGGCCCCACCCCGTCTTCTCCTCCACCTCGTGCATGTCTCTGGTTCCCTGAAGGTTATTTAAGGCCCTCCCTGTACCTGCCATCCTCTACCCCCTTGCCCCATTTTATTTATGTTCCTCATAGCATTCATTACCATAAAAATTTATTTGTTTTCTTAGTAACTTTCTCTTCTCTGAAGTAAAAATCCAGTTAAATCAGGGACTCTGTCTTGCTCACCAAAGTATTCTGAAATCTAAAATAGTGACTGGAACACAGTAGGTGCTTAATGATTGCTTGTTGGAGGAATTAAATTACTGGCTAATAGCCCTTTAACTGTTGACTTCAACTGCAGAGGTAAACTTCCTTCCAAATTCCCCTTTGGATTTCAACAGAAACGGATTTAAAAACTTTTTCCAGCCTGTGCTACCTCAATCTTCTAGAACCACTTCCAATTCAAGCTATTCTCTGCTGAATTATTTTTAAAGACAGTGAGTGGCTTCACAGCTAAGCCTATGGGACCAGAGACAGAGGGATCACAGGGGCGAGGCCAGGTCTGCAGCCGGGGTGGGAGTGCCCGAGGCAGGGTCCCCGCAGAAAGCCCACTCCTAACACTCGGGCACCTCCCCACTCGACGGTGGCACCCACCAGGCCACACACCAGCCCTGAAGACCCACCGCCACAGCTCACAGAAATTCAGAGACACAAAGACTGTATCAATGGTTACCTGGGGCTGGGGGATGGGAGCGGCCACTACTGGACATGAGGCTTCTTTTGGGGGTGACAATGCTCTAAAATTAGATTACAGTGACGGCTGCAAAACTCTACCAATATACTAAAAACCAATGAATAGGACACTTTAAATGGGTAAATTTTATGGTATATAAATTCGCATGGCAATAAAGCTATTTAAAAAAATAATGAAAAAGTTTCTGAAAAACAAAGTATTTCCTCAAGTCCTGCACCTCAGTTTTCTGATCACGTCTAAGATCAGCCACTCTGTCATGGGACTTAAAGGCCTGCAACCATCTTAGATGTCTTAGTCCTGGTCCCCACCCTGGCTGAGGAGCCTGGGATGTCTGAGGAACTGAGCATCAGAGGACGGTCCCGCGTGACCCGAGCAGACACTCAGGCAGAGCTACAAATGCAAACGCTTCTGGGATGCCAAAAAGTCATTACCAAAGTCATCGTAGTCTTTGGTAACTATTTTGGCTTTCTGAGAAATTTAAGGAAGTGAAAAAATGGAACCTGACTCTTACAAGCCTCAGGAAACTCTTAGCAAGCAGAAATTCCTGATTTTGAACCGCGAGGCTGGCTGGGAGGCTCAGAAAGGCCGAGGGACGTGCCCAGGGCACGCGGCAAGTCCCCAGCGCGTTGCCAGGGCAGCCCGACGCCACACCTGCGGCAGACGGGCAGGCTCACCTGCGGGCAAGTCCAGCTCCACGCCGACCCACGTCCCCTCCTGGAAGTCCGTGGGCCCGACGTATCTCACGATGCCCAGCTTGTTGGTGCCCACGGCGACGTACTCCCCCTCTTTGAGCCACTCGGGGACTTCGTCGCCTTCCTCGGAATCCGACGCAACGTCCGGCCTGCCCGGGGCCTGGGCCCCAGCGACCAGCAGGTCCCCGTGGGCCGCGGCGGCGGGGCCGGCGTCGGCGCCGAGCATGCGCGAGAAGGACTGCAGCTCGGCCGTGCGCACCCTGCGCACGCGGAACGGGGAGGCGGGCGCGGGCTCCGGGCCCAGCCGGGCGGCGGGCGTGGCCTGGGCCTCGGGCGTCGGGGCTGCGGGGCTCGGGCCGTCCAGCCGGGCGGCCGGCACACTCTGCGCCCCCGAGGCAGCAGACGGCAGCGGGGTCTCGGCCTGGCCGCCGGGCGCGGGGCCCCCCGCCGGGGCCGCGGTGTCCAGGCCGGGGCCAAGGGCGTCGGACAGCGTGGCGATGGAGACGCTGTGGGAGAAGTACCCGCTCGAGGCCTCGCTCAGGGGGCTGGGGGGCCCGTCCTGCCCCTCCGGGCTCGGGGTGGCCGCGGAGACCGGCGGCGGGGAAGGCACTTTAGCTGGCTTGTCGCAGATCCTCACTGCGGGGGCCGCCACCTGCACCAGCACCTCGGGGGCCGCGCCAGCACCCACGCTCTCTGGCTGAGCCTGCGGGGACAAGGGGGAGCAGAACGGCTTAGAACCAGCGGTCAGCTACCGGGTACCCGAACGGGGTGCGCTGCTGACACCCCGCAGCTTTGACCCCAGGGAGCCGGGGGCTTTCATGTGGGTCCCCCCGTTTGCGTCTGCATGACCCGGGCTCTGCAAGGGCCAAACGCTTAGGGGCTACCGTGTGCCGGGGGGGTGTACCTGTGCCAGTGCTGCTGAGCCACGGGCCGCAGCCCCTGCCTGTCCACTTCTTCGCCTTTCACTCAGAATAGAGACTCCAGTGCCCGCCGTGCAGGGGCAATGTGGTAGGACAGGACCCAAAGGCCTGCCCACAGAGGGTGCACACGGCAGGGCATACTAAACCCTGCTGCCCATCAAGGCCTCCCAGCCACCCACACTGAGCCCAGGGAACCAGATCCCCTGCCCACTGCCAACCTCGCAAGGAGACCGAGAGAATCACTAAAGAGGCCAGGAGAGCTCTGTCCTCTGGCAAAAATCAGAACGATGATCTCATCAGAGGATCTGAGAGCGCCTGGGCACAGCCTAGCGGGCCTGTGGCCTGGCTGGGCACTCCTGCTAGGAGCCAGGTGGACGAGGACGGGACAGAGGCTCCCTGCAGGCCGTGGCCCTTTCTCCAAGAGGCCACTTTTGTGGCTGCTGTGGAAGCTGCTCCCACATCAGGGCTCAGGGGACATCTGACCCTGAAGACAGGCCAGGGAGCAGCTGCCCCCCATGGCCTCGCCCCCTCACGTCCCTCTGAGTCACCCGGGAAGAGGACACGCACATAGAGCCCACATCTTATGGGGGGTGATGAAAGCCACCGCCCATCTAAATCCTACTGTCCGTGAGGCATGTGCAAGGTGCTTTTACGATGACAGCCGTGTGAAGAGGCTGTGGATTATCTTCCTATTCCCTGGTCACGGTGACAGGGAAAGGGGAGGCGGGAAGGGGGAACAGGGATGCTCGGGTGGACAGGGCTGCTGTTCAGAAGAAGAAATATGTTTTCCAATATTTACGGAAAAATTATTTATATTACAGGAATGGTCATTTTCCATTTGAAATACAGGATTTATTTGAACTGGGAAACAGCTGAGATCTATAAGTCTCTTACAGTTACTTGGCTTACCTCAGCAGCTTGATAAATCATGCATGTTCCCGTGAACTGTCATTTATATTCCTGTTTCCAGAGGCCCCTTCTCCCCACAAGGCGCACTTTCAGGGTATGAAATTAACGGCACCTCCTGAGATTAACAGCCCATTTTGGTGATACATCTCTAGGCTGCAAAATTTACTCAATCCAATACATCAATAACTGTCACCGGCATAAATACTCTAAAAGATTAGGCAATCCTTCAATCATTTTTCTTTTGCAACTTGTACATGTTTCATTTATTCTCTCCTATTTTAGTTTTAGTATCACTGGGAAGAATACACAAAGACAAATGCAACTACAAGAGTCTAGAATCTGAACAGTAACTGTGGTCCTCAAACAGTTTCTGTTCCCTATTCCCCTATCAGGTGAGACTGGTCATTGCCAGGTCAACACCTGGCTGCTCGGGGCCAGGTTGGGACAGTCCCAAGGGGCGGCCGTCCAGAGACACTGCCTTACATTTACAGGTGCCACCCCACGTGCTTCCACGTGAGTCACAGACATGGGGTGGGCAGGACGTGTGATCATGTTCATTCTACAATGTGGCCCGGAGAGGTAAAGGATTTCCCCAGTAAGTGAAAAGGCAGGAATTACAGGTCAGCTCTGCAGTGACAACACAGACAGACCAAAGATGGCAGAACGTGCTGACTGGCTAAAGCAGCCGCAGATCCCTGCCGGTTGTGGCACCCGGGCACCCCCCCCCCCGCCTGGAGTCGATGTGTATGTTGAGATCTAGTTGCCATCTTTGGATTATACCCTTACCAATGAGAGAGACATTTCCAGAGACTTCTGCGAAAGCCCAGACTTGAGGAAACCACCACGATGAGCTGTAGCAGGGCCCTGCTCTGATTGTCCCCCTGGCCAGGGGGTCTCCAACCTGCCTCGGCAAAGTGACAAGCTCCGCTCATCGGGGGAACCCGGTACTGTCTACAGTGAAGTTCACGAACACCAAGCGTGCACTGGAGCCAAAGTGTCTTTTAAATAGCAGTGAATTCACAGAGGTCTGAATATTCTTTCACATTATCGTGCCTTTGTTGCTGTTGTTTTAATAAAGAAAATTTTCCTACGAAGATATAGCATTTCCTAAGAGAATGAACGCACAGTGGGAGAAAATAGATTTGCTATTCATAAGATGAGAAGTGCTGTTGATCTGTGGGAGATCATAAGAGACTATTTTCTCCCCAGCTCAGCATTAGTCTTTTCACGCTGATATCATGAATCGGAATGAAATGTAAAACTGAGAATTAAGCAAACACTTAGAAGAGGGAGATTGTTCTGTTTATAGAAATCTCCTTTGCCTGGCAGTGGGCTATTAAAGCAGCAGACTGTATTAGCAGTCAAGCACCTAAAAGTTTAGCAATCATATGATTAACAAGTTGAAAATAGAAAAGTGTAACAAGGAAAATAGAAAGGGAGAAGACGGTGACCTATATTATAGTTAATTATCAAAACGGGAACACTAAAATAAAAAGCTGCAAGTGTGGACCCAACAGTTTTTGCACCGGGGCCACCCGCGTATGTGGGGCAACGACCTGCAGCCCGACGGACTCACCTCCTCCATCCTGGTCACCCCGGCGTCCGGGAAGGCAGACTGCACCATGATGCGGGGCACGGGCTGGGAAGACAAGTGCACGGTGAGGGCTCGAGAGCGACAGAACAGGGACAACTATGAAGGTTCTCACTGAACGGACTGCAGAGCCAGCAGGAAGAACTCTCGCAACTCTGCGGAACTCTAACACGTCACTGCCCATCAGGCTCACAGTGCCAGGGCTCCACACCCTACCAGAAACGAGGAACCCAGCACGGGGCTCACGCCCCGGCCAGGGAACAAGCCACCGCTCAAGTCACCAAGGTACGCGGTGCGCCCCCCTCTCCGATCCATACGCACGGGTTAATCAAGGGCCACACCTGTGCAGACAAGCACGACAAGACTTTCTGTGGAGAAGCGGCAGCGATAGGAAAGATCTGGAAAGACTTCAGGCAGGAGGCAGAAGCTGACCCATGCCTTGATGTCCCAGGAAGTGAGCAGGAGGAAGCCGGTCTGGCTGAAGCACACATTGCCGCCTAAGACAGAGCAGGCGAGGGTCGGCAGGAGGCCTTGGGCACCTGAAACCAGACGCCGGGGCAAGAAAAGCAGAAGACAGCTGAAGACCAGAAAGACGGATCGGTGGCAGGATGCGGATTCCTTGGAGAAACAGTTACAGTCCAAGGAAGCAAATCGGCAACGGGATGCCAGCAACAGAGCAGGTGAGGTGGCAAGAGCCTGAATTAACGGACGCAGGCCAGCGTCGCATGAAAGGACTCCACTGCTTACGCACACGAGGTTCAGACAACAGTAAAAAGGAGGGAGCGCGAAGAATAACGACAGGCCAGGGAGAGGAAAGGCAGGAGGGGGAGAAGGAACCTAGACTCCATCTCGTAGCCGCTCGCTGCGAGACGCTGGCGGGACGTGGCTTAGCCGGGCAGGCGCGAGCATCTCTGGAGGAGACCAGGACTCCGCCCGCTCTGCCTGTACCCGCTCCGCCCACCCCTGCGCCTCACAGGTCGCCCTCCCGCTGCAGGCGTCTGCACCTGGCCTCACATGCTCAGCTCCAAACAGGGCTCCCTTCTGGCAGAGCGGGTACAGGACGGGCTTTTTTTCTCTTTTTGTGTCCACAGGGAACAAGGGCTGGTCGCCACTCTATTCTATAACTCAAGCTCCTACAGATGTGCACTCCACATCTACACTTTTCCCTTGTTCAGCCCCAGGCAGGCCAGCTGCCCCGGCTCCTGTGTGCACTGGGGCACCTGAGGCTTCTATGCAGTAGGACCTTCCAGACAGCCTGCGGGACGAGCCTGGACCGCCAGTGTCCTCCCCGCTCCTGGGAGCTCAAACCCCTACCTGGAGTTCTAGTCCAGGGCACCACTAGACTCATGCCCTGGGGCTGCTCTAGGAAGACAAGAGCCAGAGGGGCTCGATGCTGCCCAAGGGAAGGGAGCCTCCCCCACTCCTCTCTCGCAGCCCTCAGCCCATCCTCCCTCAGTCCCCCGGCGCCCCCACGCCAGCCCCTTGCGAGGGAGCAGCCGGAAGCAGCACTCTCCACGCTGCCGCACAGCCCTCGAACGCAGGGGCTGCTGTATTTTTCTCCCTCGTATCTAAAGCCCCCCACTAATGGGAAGGTGTTCAGAGTATATTTCTTAGTAAAGGCAGGAAAAAAACGTTTCTCAAGCTCAAATTCTGGAATACTTGCATCCTTCAGTTGGATCTTACTTAAAGTAGATGAGATCGGGGAATAATTGTTTCCACTACGGTGAAGCTTAGCTCTTAGCATAAAAATTCATATAAAACTCCCACCGAGGACGGAACAGTCAGGTTAAGCACCTGGGATGGAACCTTTGCTGAATGACATGAGTCTTGCCTTCCTAAACAGAGCATGGAAACAATGTACACTTTCCTTTATGACTCAGTGCGATTAGAAAAATCCAGTCAATGCTTCACAAACATTTTGCTGAAATACATTTAAGGATCAGACCGACCGCCACACTAGCTCTGCCTCTCAATGTACGAACTCAGTACAACAAAGATTTTGTCAGGTCTTCCTACGTACAACAGGGCATTGCGCCAAGTGCCCTGGGCAACACCAAGATCACGAAGGCATGAGTTTTGTTCTCCATGGACAGACAACATGATCTGGGGGAGGGACACGCAAACAAATAACAAAAACAAAGGAAGGTGACAGATAGTAGAATGGAAGCTTCACGAGCACAGAGATCTCAGAGGAGGTCGGACCATATGTAAAATGGCTTGAGAATACCTGCACGAGGGAGATTTTATTTTGGGGACTTGGGTAGCACAGCAAAGGCGGGATGGCAGAAGAGCTGCTGGCTGGTCCAGGCCCGGGGCAGCAAGAGCATCCCGCACTGGGCAGGGGGAAAAAAGAGGAGACCGTCCGGAGGCAGCCTTCTGAGCTTAGGGCTGGATTTCACAGCAAGGCAGAGCTAGCACAGGTTCCTGGAGGAAGCCATGCCGAGAACCACACTTTAGATTAATTCTAGGACAGGGAGATACTAAACCAAGGGGATCGATGATGAAGCTGTCGGGTGAACAGCTAATAAGAGCCTGGACCCAGACGATGAGAGGAAAAGCAAAGAGAAAGGGAAGTTCAGAGACGTGAGGCGACTATTTAACACTTGGAAGCAACTGGCTGTGGGAGGCTGGGGTCAAAGACAATGCCCAGGAAGCACGAGTGACAGGCAGGACAGACGGTGATACTAGCAAGAAGTGCACGTGTGTGCGCAGCCACACGGGTGCAGAGACGGAGCAACGGCCTGTGAAGAGTTCAGCGAGCTTATTAAGGGCACCCAGTATACCTGCAAAACATACTGGAATCTTAACTGTGCCATTCGTCCTTCATGTGCAGTAGCTCAAATTTCCAAGTGTGTACTGCTTGCATTTTAATGCTCTTTTACATTTCCCCTGTGCAGACAGTCACCTCTTATTTCAGGAGCTCAAAACATTTCAGATCATAAGTTCATTAATCCTTACGACACATCTGGTAACTATTAATAAAAATGACTGCAAAGTATTTTGCAGCTATAAATATTAAGGAGAAGTCCCACGAGGCAAGTGAACATAATTACCTACATTTCACACTACAGGAACCAAGGCTCGGAGAGCATTTACTTAGTGGTTAAAGGCATTCACGTTGCCCCGTGAGCTGGTGGCAGAGATAGAAAAGGACCAAGTTCTCCGGTGCCAGCTGAACCTGCATCACGCTGTCTACTGAGCACTGCCAAAACGGAATGGACGAGTGGCTTATGGGCGACAGAACAGCTTTGGAATATTTCAAGGAAAAGGTGATCGTAACTGATCATATCCTGCCATTTTTTAACTCTGGCTTTCCCGTGCCACATGAATACAGGGAACATCAGTTCAGAATTTCTTAACTTGGCATAAAAGCTATTTTGGAGACCCCTCTACCTCAAAGAATAAAACTTCAACTCCTTGGCATGACATACAAGATCTCCATGAGCTTGCACCGTGCCGTGCGTGTTATCCATGCAGGTAGCAATGCCCACTCCCTTCGCTGTGTCGTTCCCAGACACACACATGACGGCATCTATGACATCATCCTACACTGGTCTATTCATCTGTTTATGGGGCTCGAAAGAAGCTTCTCTAAACTTTGAAGGGTAGAGATGATGTCTTCTTCACCCCTGTATTTCCTTACATAAAATGGTAACGTTTGTTGAATGAACGAACAAATAAATAAATGCATCATTACTTAGCAAGTGACACAAAGAAGAATCAATTGCATGGTTACAAGGAATTTGGAAAAGAACAGACATTCTGAAATTTGGGCATGGGGTAGGTACAGAGAAGACAGACATCAGCTCAGGGAAAAAAACAATCACTTTAAAACTTCCCCAACATTGAATTTTCTGATGCATTTTTCTTTCTATCTGAAAATAAAGCTTTCCTAATAATCACCCCTTACCCTGAATTCGATAAATTCTTAAATATCATCATTAATAGTGCCTAAATTAATACAATTCTCCAAGTCTTTTTTTCCCCCCAACACAAACCAATGATTTAAATCTAAGTATACAAAATTATTTAAGGGAACATACAACAAGAGATGTACGATGTATTTTTTGCTATAAATAACCAGTAGCCACCTCTTCATTTTCCTGCTGCTCAAGTGGGAAAAACATAAGAAAACCAAGCAGGGGCCGGGCGCGGTGGCTCACGCCTGTAATCCTAGCACTCTGGGAGGCCGAGGCGGGTGGATTGCTTGAGCTCAGGAGTTCGAGACCAGCCTGAGCAAGAGCAAGACCCCAGCTCTACTAAAATTAGAAAGAAATTAATCGGCCAACTAAAAATATATAGAAAAAATTAGCCGGGCATGGTGGCGCATGCCTGTAGTCCCAGCTACTCGGGAGGCTGAGGCAGAAGGATCACTTGAGCCCAGGAGTTTGAGGTTGCTGTGAGCTAGGCTGACGCCACGGCACTCACTCTAGCCCGGGCAAAAGAGTGAGACTCTGTCTCAAAAAAAAAAAAAAAACCAAGCAGGTAACAAAATACTTGCTAATCTTCGAAAATGTTCTGATAAGAGTTACACATGATGGATAAAAATCAGACATGTATAATTACCTAAAAATCAAGACTCAGTAATAACCTAATCCGGAAACATTCTGTAAAGGATGCCTGGCTTGCAGGAAAGGGCGCCAGCCTGCATTCCGGTGGCCACACATGCTCCCGGAGTGGCCCTCTGGAACCCGGCACAGCAGGGTGCTCTGAACAAAGCGTCGGCCGTGACGACACCAGCACCTTTGTCCATCGGCTGTTATATTTCTTATCTACAATAAACGACCTGGCTCTCTGACTTCTGTTTGTGTAAACCTGATCACCTCTGGGCTTGCACATCTGCACACGGTGATCCCGTCCACGTGAACTCTCTAAACAGCATCGCCCAGGGAGGCAGGCTGGTGGCCACCAGCTGGTCCTCACCTGAGCCCCCATCACCCTGCCTGCCACAAGCCCCTGTCGAGCAGAGCCGCATGGTATCAATGTGCTCAACGCGGGAAGGAGACTTTGGACTCCTGACCAACGTCACGCTCCCTGGTGAGGGTCTT